CTTAGCCTCACCTACCTCACAGCAGAGATGAAGATCGGCTGGGGTGTGCTCCTTTGGCTCCTGGATGTCGGTAAGTCTTTGTCAGGCTTGAAAGATTATACTTTAGAGAATGGTCGCAAATTCCAGACCTGAGCCACTGTTTTCTACTGATGTGTCAAGTTCCCCCACCCATCTTTTTCTCCCAGGATGCTGCAGTGAAGAGGTCACTCAACAACCGAGTCTGGTCCTGAAGGAAGGTCAACCTGCCCGGCTTGAGTGCTACCCAGTGACAGGGCACACTGCCATGTACTGGTACCGGCAGGATGCAAGTCTAGGTCTACAGCTTCTCTTTATGTTCCGAAGTAATGAACAAATAGATCTTGGCAACCCTCTTCCACGTTTCACAGCTAAGTGGCCCAAGACAAGGAGCTGTGAACTGAATATTTTGTCTGTGAAGCAAGAGGATTCGTCTGTGTATCTCTGTGCGAGCAGCCCATACACGGCACTTCAAAGTCACCTCCTCTTCCTACAAAAACCTCCACGTGTGTGAGGCTGGAACCTCACGTCAGGAGAGAAACGTTGGCTGGGAAGGAGAAGCTAAACCCTCTTTCCTCCTGTCTCCCATAAACATCTCTAATTTCATCGAACTCAAGTTTGGGCCTGTACAATTTCTGTGGCAGAGCCATGTCCTGCCAAAATGAGTGGGAGATAAAAAGAAAATGCTCCACAAGTGAGAGAAATGGCAATGCTTCTGTAGAAAAACAGAACCAATCCCCACAGAAGGAGCATTTTAGGGTTGCCAACTTCATTCTGAAGAGAACCTTTTGCCAACGCTATTTAATTGGGAAGGCTTTGTTGCTCTTTAACATTGAGATTGGCTATTCTCTGATTGAATTTACATGTAGAGATTGGTTCCAGAATAAGAATGACAACATCTCTGGTGTTAATTTGACTTTGAGGAAGATGACTAATGAAACGGGATGAAACCTAGGCGCTCATCAGCCGGAGCGTCTGCTGGTTGTTTCAGGATTTAGTTGGAACTGTTAATGTGATTCTAAGGAGCACTGTGACTATGACGTTGTGATATACAAACATAAAGTAAAGATAAAGGTTCCCTTGCTCGATGCCCACAGAAGGACCATTTTAGGGCTGCCAACTTCATTCTGTAGAGAACCAACGCTATTTAACTGGGAAGGCTTTGTTGCTCTTTAACATTGAGATTGGCTATTCTCTGATTGAATTTACATTTAGAGATTGGTTCCAGAATAAGAATGACAACATCTCTGGTGTTAATTTGACTTTGAGGAAGACAACTAATGAAACGGGCTGAAACCTAGGCGCTCGTCAGCCGGAGCGTCTGCTGGTTGTTTCAGGATTTAGTTGGAACTGTTAATGTGATTCTAAGGAGCACTGTGACTATGACGTTGTGATATACAAACATACCCCTGTACAAATTGGGAGTTGTGAGAAGAATTTGCAGTTCTAATGATTTATAAAAAAATGTTTGATATAAACAATGGATTGAGTCGTTAAATAAGTGAGTCAGGAGCCATATGGTATAGTTATACTTTATTCAATTAATGGCCATTAGACACAGTGTTTTCCCTATTTTTTAACTTCTAGGTGGGGCCTGCCTGGATTTCTTGCAGCATTACAAGATGATCTCCAGACTATAGAGCAGGGGTGTCGAACTCATTTGTTATGAGGGCCGGATCTGACATAAATGAGACCTTGTTGGGCTGGGCCATGTGTGTCATAAACTAATGCCAGGTAGCAGAGATATAAACTTTATAAGGGACACAAACACAAAGGGTGGGTTTTTTTACTTAAAATAAAAACATGCTTAAAACATTAGCACTCTTGCAATATTTTGTTTATTTAACAGTGTCTGATAACTGACACCCGTGCTCTGAATTATTGCATCAAAATGTCTGTGCTGTTGAAGTCTTGAGTATGCTGTTTAGGTGTGTATCTGTAAGCTGAAAACCTATGATGATGCAGCAGCAGAACTGGAAGAAGAAGCAGAAGACAGACAGTTCCACTGCGGGCCTGATAGAAGCCCTCTGGGGGCCTGATCTGGCCCCCGGGCCGCATGTTTGACACCCATGCATAGAGATTAGTTCTCTTGAGAGAAAAAAATCCACTTCAGAGGGTGCACTGTATGACATCACATCCCTGCTGAGCCCCTTTCCCTCGAACTCCACCCCCCAGGGCTCCACCTCCAATGATCCAGCAATTTCCCAACGCAGCTTTGGCAAACCTATAACCTGCCTCTACACTCACTCCTGGTTGCTTAGCTCTCTCAATTCAGTTACAGCGATGACGCCAGACGAGCGCAGTTGCTACTCACTGTGTAAGGCCATAAGAGCAGCCCACTTCCTGGAGCCTGAGAAGGAATCACATGTCGAACCTTTACACATCACGAGCTCACTCTCCCAGGAGAGATGTGGACCGGATGGTGTGTGGCCATTTGTGTCCTGGGACTAGGTAGGTCCTTGGCTCAAAGTGTTGTTGTTTTCTTCTGTAGAGGTTGCTCTACTAATTTCAATTAAAAATACCAACATGTTCTTCCCCCTCTCTTTCTCTTCCAGGAGGTGCAAAGGCTGAGATCACTCAACAGCCGAGTCTGATTCTGCAGGAAGGCCAAGATGCCCACTTCAAATGCCGCCAAACAAATAAACACGACCACATGTACTGGTACCGGCAGAAGGCAGGGCAAGGCCCGGAGTTCCTCTATTACTTCTTTAAAAAAGAAGAACAACAGAAAGGCGATGTGTTGGACCAATTCTCTGCTACGCAGCCTGAAGACTACCACTTGAGCCTGACCATTTCACCTGTGAAGCAAAAGGATTCGGCTGCTTATCTCTGCGCAAGCAGCCAAGACACAGCACTTCAGAGTCACGGCCACTTCCTACAAAAACCTGCTTGTGTCATCAGTGTGTGGCTACAGAAAAATGCCAGAGAAATGCAGCATTTCCAACCCTGGCCTTCCCTTGTCATGCTAATTTCTGGCCTGAGGTGGTTGCATTTTCAAGGGATATTGGGAGGGGGCTCCACCTGTCAATGGTTTCCTCTCCCCACCCCTCTACTGATTTTCCTGTTTACCACCCTTCCATATTCATACCAGCTGCACCTGCAGAACTCTCCCTTTACCATGCCTACCCTCATTTCCCACAAACAGCAAGTCACGTGGTTAGCCTGTGTCTGGGCTGTGCCCTCTTCAGATTGAAATGGGATGATCAGGTCCTTGAATATTTTAATGTGTTTTATCTACTAAAATATGTATTTATATGTATTTATCAGATTCAGATTTAGGAAACCTTTAATGGCATAAAATGTATTAATCTATTAAATATAGGCCCTGTTCACACTAGACGGTTTGGGCCGGGAGAGGGACGGATCAGGGCCGCAGCAAACGGGCGTGATCCCACAGCAACATCTGGGAATCGTGCTGCGCCCATTCCCAGCCCGTTCCCAATCCGCCCCTCCCGGCCAAAACCCGCAGCAAAAAGAACCACCTACCTAGGTGGTTCTTTCCGAAGGGCCGCATAACTGCCGGCCGTGGGATCGCTGGCACATCTTTTCGCCAGCGCATCCCCGGCCGTACTGCGCATGCTCGATCATGCACAGTTCGGCAGCCTCCCCCTCCCACTCGTCTCTTCCTCCCCGGCATCTGATCGTGCCGGGAAGCAGCGGTGCCGCGGCTCAGGGGATCGTGGGATCCCGCGGCGTCTCTTTTTTGGTGTGGCTTTTAGAAGCTGCGCTTTGCCCAGTGTTTTCCCTGCCGTGTGGCAGGGGCCAAAGATTATCTATTAAAATTTATATCCCGCTTTTCCTCATGGTGCAAGGTGGCTTACCATACTAGTTTAATACAGCTTTTGGTTAACAGCATAAATAAAATAGCCATTCCTAAATCTCTCCCCTCCTCTCCCCCTTGAAAGATGAAGAAGAGTTGCTTTTTATACCCCACTTTTCTCTCAAAACAGTTAACAATAATCTTCCCTTCCTCTCCCCACTACAGGCACTTTGTGAGGTAGGTGAGGCTGAGAGAGGTCTGAGGGGTCTTTGACTGTGAGGGGCCCAAGGGCACCCAGCAGGCTTCACGTGGAGGAGCGGGGAATCAAACCTGGTTCTCCAGATCAGAGTCTGCCGCTCTTGACCATTACATCTCAAAGCCCTTCAAAAGACCTGGCAAACAGGCAGGCCTTGTACCGCCTCCTGAAGATCTCCAAGGAGGGGGGCCCCACCTCTTCAAGGAGCCCCTTCCCCAGAGCTGGAGCCACAATGGAAAAGGCCCCAGCTCTGGCCAGTGCCAGATGGGCAACCCTAACTGGTGGGATGTCCCACAGATGGCTGCTTGAAGACTATAGTTGGTGCACAGGAATATATGGAAGAAGATGGCCCTTCTAATATGTGGGGTCCCAGGTTGTGAATGTAGGGTTGCCATCCCCATGATGGGGGCGGGGGTTTACCTGCTTTCGGGGGGGGCAATCCGCTGCTGCTCAGCTGGCCGGCAATGGAAGCCCCGCCCCTGAGCAGCCCCATCCACGCCAACATGCCTGGTGCAATGACATTCCTGGAGGTGACATCATTGCACAGGGCACATTGCGTGGGGGGGACGTTCTAGCATCTGGGGAGGGGAACTCTATGGTAACCAGTTTGGTTTTGAAAGAATATCATTGGTTACCCATTTTCCAATTCAAGGTGCTGAACCCTTGATAATCTGGGACCCACATAGCTCCCCATGCAAAGATGGCCCTCAAAAATCTTTGGCCAGATGCGATGGGAGCTGATCAGTACAGTTAGTGCTCAAGGTCATGGCAAGTCTGCACTTTCTATTCTTGGAAATTCCAGGCCTGATAACAAGCTCAATGTCGTGCCAAGACTCTGGGAAGTGAAAAGCTGCCACAGCCTTGGGAGCTGGCAAGATAAGGCCTACAAGCAGGTATTTAGGGTGTGAGGTCTTCCCTAGCAATCTCCTCTTGCAGCGGGTTGAGAACGTGACCACTGACAGAGAAGCCATGAAGTTCCTTCTGCTCCTTGCCTGCCTGGGTGCAGCTGGTAGGTTCTGTAATGCTGTTTCCGTTTGCTCTTGGTTGGGATCATCTCATTACTTGATCGGCCGGTCTGTCATTGGTGTTGCTAAAGGTAGCATGGCCCATGCCCTCCAAATTATTTGTGGCCTTATTTGGAGGACATGTCATTGCCACACGAATGGGTCACTATATGAAGCTCCTGTATGGTGAGGCAGAACATTGGCCTGTTTGAGCCCAGTATTTTTTTTGGAGGGCAGTGGCTTTCTAGCATGGAGAGGTCTTTCACAACCGTTGTTGCTTGAGATATTCCTAAATGGAGATGTCAAGGACATTTAGGATCTGTGCACATGCTTTGGCCCTGAGCCACGGGCTATTCTGAAACAAAAGAATGGCTGGATGGAGACTCGAACCCTGGGCCCTCAAATGGAAGGTCTGACGTTCTACCAACTGAACCACAGATGGAATGGCAGCCATTTCACCGAGCAGACAGAATTGACTTTCCCTCCTGACTTGGCTCATTTTGAGCCATTTCACATTACCCTTTTTAAACCGTCATTGTCCCGTCATGGAATAAACCGGTACAGGGATGGCTGTTTCACACAGCCTTTCCCTTCCGGTAAGGAGCCGTCTCTGGTTTCAAACTGCGCTGCTTTCTTTTCCCACCATTTCCCCCCACGTGCACAATCTCCCTGAGGGGGTTGGGTGTTAGATGCCTAGACTCCATTTAGATACACTGTCGTTCGCTATTGCTGTCCCCTGGAAACAAGGAGCTCACTGGATACAGAGCTCAAGTGCCATGGAGGTGGGGGGGAAACCGGACAGTTTTGAAACCCAGGACGCTTTCCTTCCTTCCTTAACTCCCACAAATCATGGAGTGTGTGTGCTTGTGTGTGTGGTGCCTGAGTCGATACTTCCTCTAAAGCAAACTTTAAAAATCGACCAAACATCTGTCTCACCATTCACTTATCCCCCGATCTCCCCCTTAAACACGCTGTCCGATCAGGTACTTGTTCCAAGTGACAGCAGTAGCGAATGTCAGTGTATCTAAATGGAGTCCAGGAATCTCAGTGGGGTTGTTATCGTGCTGCTTTGTAGTCCCGCTTCACAGCCATAGTGTCCCCAATAGAATGTTAAAAAAAGAGAGAGAGACGGTTGCGCATGAGGAGAAAAAGAGCATGAAAAGATCTGTCATCGCAGGAAACACTACGGGGCATTTTATACAGCACCCCATAGCGCTTCAGAAGCAGTAGAAAGGATTGAAGACTGGAGGAAAGCAGTTTGAGTAAAAAATGCTTCAGGCACTCTTCCTGAACAGGACAGAAGCTTGTTTCTCTGAACAGGTAAATATATTCTGTCAGGGAACAGTTCCTGAAACGGAATACATAGGCTGTCTGAAACCAGCATTGTTTTAGTGTCCCCTTTTTAATATGTTGGCCAATAGAGGTTTAATGTTTGAATTACATAGGAACGTTTGAGCAATATCTGTTTTTAGCCTGCTGTGAGGAACTCTCAGGCAGGGGATGAATTGGAGCCTGGCAGAGGCAAGTTCAGCTTCTTGTTCACCTCCAAAGTTCTGTGTGTAGTTTGCTAAAGTCGTACCTTAGCCAACTAGACCCTTATTGGATTTATTATAAGGCTCAACAGGTCAGGAACTTCAAAATACTTGGTTGCATTCACAAGCGTCTTGTGCGTTATGTCCCATCTGCTCACTTCCAACTTATGGCTACCGCATGAATTCATGACCTCCAAAATGTCCCATCCTTAACAGCCTCGCTTGGGTCTTGCAGACTGAAAGCCATGGCGTCCTTGAATGAGTCAAGCCATCTCATTCTGGGCTTTAATAAGAGGCATTGCTCTTGCTTGCTTCTGTTTTCCTCAAGGCAGGCGGTAGGTTCTTGCTCTTCTAAAAATCATGTCATCCAGGGTGCTAACAATGGCAGTTCCAAACAGAGAAAATTGATTTTTATAGCTTTTGATAATACTGCTAGCGTGTTAGAAAACCTCATCATTTAAACATTAGAATACTGCTGGTTGTCTCCCTCTGGTTAATCAGGACGATTGATGCCACTGTGGCCTGTGAATCGATCTTCCGGATGACAATGATACGAAAGTGACAGATCTTTACAGTTTCTCTCAGACAAACATTTACGGTCTTCTTTTAGTCAGCTGGGAGCTGCGGTGGCTCAAGTGGTTAAGACGCTGAACTGCAGGCTGTGGAAGGTCGGTAGTTCAGCAGTTCAAGACCCGAGTGTGCTGCATGACGGAGTGAGCTCCCGTCTCTAGTTCCAGCTCCTGCCAACCTAGCAGTTCAAAAGCAAGAAATTGCAATTAGACAAATAGGTACCACTTCGGTGGGAAGGAAACAGAGTTCCGTGCGCCTTGGTGTTTAGTCATGCCGGCCACATGACCACGGAAACGTCTTCGGACAGCGCTGGCTCTTCGGCTTTAAAACGGAGATGAGCACCACAACCCTAGAGTCAGACTCGACTGGCTTTCGAGCAAGGGAACCTTTACCTTTTACCTTTAGTCAGCTGAGTGTGATCTTGCTTCCTACAGCTGCTTTTCCCTTTGGTGACGATGACGACGACAAGATCGTAGGGGGTTACACCTGCCCGGAGCACTCTCTCCCTTACCAGGTGTCTCTGAATGCGGGGTACCACTTTTGCGGGGGCTCCCTCATCGACAATCAGTGGGTCCTTTCAGCAGCCCACTGTTACCAATCGTGAGTGCAGAATAAGCATTGTTTAATTCTGTCCTATTTATGGGGTTCATTTTTCATTGTGCCGTTTTCAGACCAACTAAGCTTGGGTGGGATAAGCGAGAAATCCAGCTATGCAAAAGATGCTGTAAATTCAGGACATAAGAAGAGCCCTGATGGATCAGACCAATAGTCCATCTAGTCCATGGCAACCATTTTGTGGTTGCGCCCACCATCCTGTATCAGAATTCCAAATTTATTTTTTATTTTTTTATCAAATGTATACCCCGCCCTCCCAGCTGAGGCCGGCTCAGGGCAGCTTACATAAAAGCACACAGATACAGTTAAAACAGCCCTAAAATGTTCTAAAACCATCTGACATTATAAAGTGCTAGTACTCGTTATTGTTGTTTAACGATGGCCGCCATATTCGATAATCTGTTCTCACAGTCGGCTCATAGATCTTCCTTTAGGTGGCTAGTGCAGGCTCAAAAAACGTCGGGAACCCCTACAATAGAGAGAGGGCCTGGTGTCCACGGGAAGTGCCTCTTCCATCAGAAGAAGGCCTAGGAGAGCATCAGAATAATGCAAAGAACCCGGAGTTAATGGTGCGCTACGTGACCCTTCTTGTTTCCCCAGTGGCCGCATACAGGTAAGACTCGGGGAGTACAACATAGATGTGCTGGAAGGCTCAGAAGAGTTCATCGAGGCCGAGAAACAAATTCGCCACCCTGGCTACAGCCCAAGGAACATGGACAACGATATTATGCTCATCAAGCTGGCCACCCCCGCCACCTTGAACTCCCGCATCCGGGCCATTTCCTTGCCTTCCCGGTGTGTAACAGCTGGGACCGAGTGCCTCATCTCGGGGTGGGGGAACACCCTCAGCAATGGATGTGAGTACAGAAGTGTTTCCTTCTCAAGCCATAGAGTCCCCTTTTCTTTCTGCATAGATTTGGGGTCCAACTGGCCCATAAACCTGTTTTTCCTAAATGCAAAGATCAGCTGCAAGGTCCTATGATTAGAAGTGGAACAACCACTGGGGGGGGAGAGAACTTAACCCTATCTCCTCTGACCATTTTCTATTAAAATGCAATGTCCCCATTTATTTTTTTCTTTTTAAAAATTATTTATTTAAACATTAATATTCAAGAATACAAACAATGGAAGTAGAAAACTGGCCATTTTGGTTGGTTAAAATAATATCGAATGTTTACAGTAATAACATCCAGCACTAGAAGTCCACATCAGGAACCAGTCACTCCAAACGTTCGAGCACTGTGCAAGTTTACTCCACTCAGGAGGGGGCACAAGAGAGAAAACAGGCGAGGGCATACAGTTAGCTATAGCCAGGAGCAGAGCTCCGGCAGTAAAGAGCCCAGGGGGTGGGCACATACAACAAGCCCCACCCCCTGATCCCAGCAGCTCTCAGTCAGAGCAAGAAGCAGCCAGGTAAGTTGCAGAGTTCCCTCCCTCGACCCACCGGTCCCAAACAGTCCAGTGGCACCTTTAAGACCAAGTTTTATTCAGGTAAAAGCTCTCCCTCCTCTGCAAGGACAGATCTGCACTCCCCCCCCCCAATAGCTAGCAATCCAAAAAAGTCCAGTGGAGCCTGAGTGGAGGGTGTTGCCTTCTGACACACTTCTGGTGATGTCAGGGGGTGTGGCATATGCAAATAAGTTATGCTAATTCGTTATGCTAATGAGATCCTGCACCTCTTTTTCTACGAAATGACCCCTGGCTATAGCTATGTATAACCATGTATTGAAACACATACAGGGTTCTGTTTCTGAGGATAGCAGAGTGATCCAGAGTAATCCATAGAAGGAAGCAAAAACACATGACTTATGCCCAGAATGAGTTTTCCAGAGCTGCACACTCCTAATACACTAACACATTTCAGGGCTAGATTCTATCCTTCATTATAGAACAAAGAGCAAGGTCCAAAACCAAAAGATCCTTTTTCTTTCTAGGCTTGGGAAAATGAAAAAGAGCAAAGGGGGTGTCCAAGTGTAACGCTTGACTAATCGAAAAGGAGGGCTGTGCCATTTAAAACCACAAGGAGATTTTGAAATAATGCAGGAGGCAGTCTTGGACTAATGTTTAGCTTTGGTAGGCAATTCTAGCTAGGCCAAAGTGAGAATCTTCAGGAATTTAAAAAAAATAAATAGAGGAAATCTTCAGAAAATGTTAGGAATTTATCAAAATTGTCTCCCGAGGACTGGCAAATCCAGCTCATCTGACTTAACTATGTCCCCACTTCTGTTTCACCTGCAATGAGAAAAGATTCCCACATCAGAGTTGCCTTTCTGCAATGTATGAATGGACAGGAACAGGAAATCTGGGTTTGGAGGTCAGGCCAGGGGAAAGGACGCTTTGCAGCCCTCACTGTTCCTGGTCACATCTCTCCACCCCACCTCTCGATCTTTCCTTGTAGTCCTCTTGCAGTGCTAGATCTGGGTTTGTTGGAGCTGCCCAGAGCTCTGACAATATCTGTACGCGCAGAGAAATAACACAGTGCTACGTCCCTTAGATTGTACCACTTCAGACTGCGCTCAGGAATGGGGATCATGTTTGGATTCTTCCTCATAAAATAATCTGCTGGAATGAAATGTAGCAGGTCTGACAGGTTAGGCTAGAACTCATCTCCCCAACATGCTGCTTTTCAGAGTGCAGAGTGAGGGTTTGTTTGTTTGCTTGCATGCAAACATATGGTTCCCCCCCACACACACTCGCTCTGTGAAGTGGTAACAGTCCCAAGGAGGCTCTGCCCCATCAATCCATGGTTCAATAGATGTTCCTGCTCTCCAGTTTCCAGGTGTTCCCAACATGCCTTTCTTCTCTTTTCTCTTTTCTCTCCTCTTGCGGCAGGCAACTTGCCCGAGCTCCTCCAGTGCCTGGATGCTCCCGTCTTAACTGATGCAGAGTGCAAGGATGCCCTTCCCGGGAAAATCACCACTAACATGATGTGTGTGGGGTACTTGGAGGGCGGCAAAGATTCCTGCCAGGTGAGATACCTTTCCTCGCTCTTCCTTCCACCTATGCAGAATATACTGCATCGGTGCCATTGTCAGTAGGATCATACAGAGAACACGTCACCCAGAAAGGGGTCCCCAACCTTTTCGAGCCGGTGGGCACTATTGGAATTCTGACATGGCATGGTCGGTGCAGCACCAAATGGCTGCCCCAGGAGGCAGAGCCAGCCACAAAATGATTGCCACACTTTAGCATCAGTAACACAGAGGAATTTCAGACACGCGATATATTCCGGAAGAGGAACGGTTCCCAAACGGTTTCTGGTCTGTCATTTCAGACAGAACCGTTTGAGAACCGGTTCCCTTCTGGAATATATTTGTCATTTCACACACAATCGCTTCTGTCCCGTTTAGGAAACGGGGCTGAAGCGTTTTACCTGTTAACCACTTCCAAGTACTCCTCCGTTTCCTTTCCCGGTTCCGATGCGCTTTTCCTCGCCGTTTTTCACCCGTGTGGGCGATCTCTGGCTTTTTTTTTGAACGTTTGTTTTATAGCGCTATAGCGCTATAACGGAATAGCATTATATCAATCCCATTGGAATGCATGGAGTGTTTTTTATACTGCTATAGCGCTATAGCGCTCTAAAGCGAACGTTAAAAAAAAAAGGCGGAGATTGCCTGCACGGGCGAAAAACGGGAAATAGCGGTGCAGTCTGAAATGGCAAACCGCTTCAGATCCAGCTCTTTACCGGAAGAGGAAAGCCATGTGTGAAATGGCAGCCCTATACCAGTTCACTTCAAAACGGATCATTACCGGCTTGAAACCGGGTGAAACTGGGTAATGTGAAATTCCCCACAGTGTAGATTCTTGTGGTGTGGTGGTAGCTGTTGCCAAAGCAATTTTTAAAAATATCTGCACGACCAATCAAATCTCCGTCAGTCAGAAGCCTTTCTGGACAAGAGCCTTACCTGGCCCTGCCCACTCCCTAAAAGGGCTCTAGAAAAGGTATCAGTGGGTGCTATGGCCCCTGACTTAGAACATGGGACACACAAACACACACAACACACACATATGGCAAAAGAACAGCAAATGGCCCACAGGGAGGGCATTGAACAGTCAGTCAAAGCAGAAGGCTTGACGCAGGGTCTCCTGTTTGACGAGATCGCTCGTCAGTGGTTCTCCAAAGAGGGGAAAGATTGCCTCTACCTCTTTAAACGGTTTGTAACACAGAATGGCAGGTTTTAAACAGGCAAACTACAGCCTATGTAAAAATATGAAAGCGGGAAAGGACTGGTAGACACAAGCAACAGGCATTCATAGGAATCAGCCTCAGGCTGTGGACCTGGGCAGTTCATAAAAGAGACACATTGCATAGACAAGGGAAAGAAAATGTTTCTCATGACCGCTGAACTCTAAAACGTCTCCTGACTAATAATACGGCATGTGAGGCACACCACCCAGGGTGAAACTGCTCCAAAATAGAGATGGGGGGGGGGAGTCCTGCGACCCAACAAGGAAGTACAGCATTGTTCATTGTCAGCACTGGGCACTTCCACACACCTGTGAAGTGGGTGCCTCTGGAATAGGGTTGCCAAGCTCCAGGTGATACCTGGAGATCTCCTGCCATTTCAATTGATAGCCAGATTACCAGGATTAGTCCCTCTGGAGAAAATGGCTGCTTTGGAAGGTGGACTCTGTGGCAGTCTACCCTGCTTGAGGTCCCTGTCCCCTCCCCAGGCTCTACCCCCCATTGCTATTCCTAACCCAGACGCCGGCAACCCTACTCTGGAAGTGTTTAAATCAGCTGGTTTCCAACTGGAACTAGAGCACCTGGAATTCAGAATGGGATCTCATTCTGAAAGTTGGAAGGAACCTGATGGAATCGTGTGGCTCTACGAAAACATTATGGTGGCACCTGGAAGTTCTTACTGTCTCAAATACATTATCAGGTGCCTATGGCAAGACTGACTATAGCGGCCTCATGGAAATCTGCCAAACCTCCCACCATTCAGAATTGGCGAAATAAATGTTGGGATCATTTTATAATGGACAAGACTGCAGATAAATATAAAGAGCAAACGAGTAGTCATATGGGATCTCATACCAAATTTGTACGCAGGTCGTTCCCTTTGATCACGTATTTTGTGGGAAATGATCTACCACCATCAAACCGTAACTATTTGGAATGGATACATTTTTGATTCACAGTTGTTTAGTCTGCGCTCTCATCACATAAGTATTAGGTGCGAAAAGTGGATTAGACTGAGTATAAGGCCAGTTATGTGCAATGTGCAGATACTGAGTTGAAATTGATTGCAAACACGATGTACTATATCTTTCAGTATGCATGTTTGTATTGTTTTAATGAAATAAAATTTTGAAAACCCCCAAAAAATATTAGGTGGGGGCAGGGCTTAAAAAAAAAAGAGAGAGGTGCCAGAACTCTCAAAAGGGAAATGAAGTTTTCACTCTGGATATTGAAAACTCATTAATTTTTAAACATTTTAGAAAGAATTTTGTCGAAGAGGTTTCGGAGCTCCGTTCTGGTACACACACACCCCGAAAAAAAGCCCTGGGTGGTGGTGGGGGAACGCATAAATTATCCTGAAGAGTGATTTTGGAAGGACGGACAAACTCGGGTCGCCACAATGAGTCCTCTGAATGGGAGACGTTTGTAATTACTCAGAGTGAGAGAACGAGATTCAGAGATTAGACTCTCTGGGAATTCAACTTCTCTCTCTAGTTGAGAAGTAGCAGGTGGGACGGAGATATGTTCAAAAATAGGACCAGTGTTAATGGGGAGGGGCGAAGATGTTCCATCATTGGACTTGTCCTCCTTGGTCCTGATAAGACCCCAAAAGTTTATATTTTGGCTTTTCCCCTAATTCTGTGTTTAGCAGATACTGTGAATCCAGGGTTAGCAAACTACATATTAATGGCTTGTTCCTTTTTCCGCCCCCCCGACAGGGTGACTCTGGTGGACCTGTGGTGTGCAACGGGGAGCTCCAAGGCGTTGTGTCCTGGGGGGTAGGGTGTGCCCTGAGTGGCTACCCAGGGGTATACACCAAGGTCTGTAACTACGTTGACTGGATCCAGGAGACAATTGCAGCCAACTAAAAGATCTGTCGCCTGCCTCGCTTGCTAGAGTTATTAGCTTGTTTTTCTAATTGACTGTAGTGTCGCTGCAGGAAATGCAATTTGGAACAAAACAAATAAAGGCATATGTGACAGCACCATTTGTTGTCGCCCCCGTTATTAAATCCCAACATCCTTTTAAATGTTTTATTTTGCATCTTATTTTTAATTGAACAATGGCCAAACACAGTATGCCGTGACTATTATACATCTGTTGAATCCAGTCGGGCTTCGGTGGCGTCTTTTATATGCACAGCCCTGCTTGGATCAGTCTCAGAGATCCGGCATCCTTCTTTTAGTAGTGTTATTCAGACAGATCCTTCGGGGAGCCCCCTTCAAGGTAGGGTAGCCTGACAAAGAAGGACTGGCCCAAGTATTGGGGTATTCAGTTAATATAGCAGAGTTTTGCCCAGTCGTAGAAGCGTGATACGGAGTGCCGTAGATAAACCTCCCAAGAAGTATATTGCTAAAGAGCTAAACTTATATTTATTCAAGTAAATCCAGTTCACGTTGCAGGCAAAAGAAGAGAAAGAACCCTAATCTAAAGAGAACTTTCTGTGTCATCAATAGCCAGCTTGTCCAGCATTGTGTGTGTGTGGGAGCATGAGGGCATTGTCTCTACAGGAGAGACTTGCAGAGACATGTGTCCCCCATGGGAGGTCATGTAGAGAGTGAGAGGACAAAGCGAGTTCCCAGGTTAAGGCAAGGAGAGGCATCCCATGGGCTCTTTTTGTAGCAGGAACTCCTTTGCATATTAGGCCACACACCCCTAATGTAGCCAATCCTCCAAGAGCTTACAGAGCTCTTCTTACAGGGGCTACTGTAAACTCTTGGAGGATTGGCTACATTAGGGGTGTGTTGCCTAATATGCAAAGGAGTTCCTGCTACAAAAAGAGCTGTATGAGTGTCCAGGCATGCTGAGTTACTCACTCCAGCACCAAGATCACCTGGTGAGGTTTACCTTGGCAAGTAGGGATTTGGCTCAGGATCTCACCAGGCCTAGTCCAGTTCTCTAGCCACTACACCCCACTACCCCTCAGGTCTGTCTCCTGGACTTTATTCAACTATTTTAGCTTTGAGGCTTAGGAGGGGGTCCACCAGATTCTAGCAGGAACGCACAGGAACGGAGTTCCGGCTGGCTCCCGAGTTGGCCACGCCCAGCAGGAACTCATTAGCATAATAGGCCACACCCAACAGCAGGAACTCATTAGGATTGGCTACATTAGGGTAATGAATTTCTGCTGTTGGGTGTGGCCTATTATGCTAATGAGTTCCTGCTGGGCTTTTTCTACAAAAAAAGCCCTGGGAATACTAATAGAATGAGGACCCCTTTTTAGAATCTCTTGCTTAAGAAGAACGTGCCACAACCAATTCATGTCAACCCTTGGAGCAAATGGCAGCTTCAAAGGGCGGCAAAAAGTATTGGTTATCTCACAACTGTGTCTAGCCCAAATGCTTGGCACCTTGTTACCTCAACACTCCAAATATCCAGGCATTTTCCATGTCGGAGTTGGAACCCTAGAGTCAAAACTGACTTTTCTGCTCTGTTATCCTATCCTGCCCCGTTTGCCAACCATATGTCTTCTGGCCAAAAAAATATCCCTCCTAGGTTTCTGTATGCCATAATTTTGTTAAAGATAAATAGGGTTGCCAACCTCTAGGTGGGGTCTGGAATTCTCCTTGAGTTACAACTAATCTCCAGAACAGTGGCCCAGTCTGCATCTAGCATTTGCTCCGCTGTCTTACCAGACCCCCGATGGGACAGACATTCCCTTCTATATCTCATGCCACTTTCACTCTGATTGATTGTCGGATTTTATGGCAGTGTCCAGACTGCATGCCGGCTTTCACTTCGTTTGATCTCAGTTTTATGGTAGCCATCCGCAGAGATTTATGGCCCTTTTATGGCCACTCAGGGGTGACTCTGCAGCCAGTATGGTGTTGGCCCGGGGTATTTGAATGTGGTTTGGAGCCGCACTTTTTTCTGTTCCAGTGTACGTTTGGTAAAACAATGGAGCGGATGCTAGATGAAGAATGGGCCAAAGTTTGAGTCCAGTGGCACCTTTAAGACCAACAAAGTTTTATTCAGGGTATAAGCTTTCATGTGCAGGCACACTTCCTCAGATACAGTGAAACAGAATTTCCTCAACCACTATATATATAAAGAGAGAGGGTGGGGTGGGGGTTAGTTGCCAGGAACGGCTAATCAGGATGCATAAATTAGTGATTATAGCTGAGACTGGATTAAATCCTGAGTCTCCCAGTTCTCACTTATACCCAGAAATGAACTTTGGCCCCGGTCACACGGGCCGGATATTGCGGGGGGGGGGGGGGGTGG